GTTGTATACTAGGTATTCAGACTTCTTAGGTGGTTCTCTAGGTGGTAGCTCTAAAGGTCAATACCTGTTTGCAAAAATATTCAAACTGTTTAGAATATGTGAAAGAAATTTATGACGTAAGATTTTCAACTTCTGTAGACAAATCAGAGGAGTAAAATAACTGGAATTATGTAATTTCTAGTTGTGAAGACTACAGTTTTGATGGCAGATATGAAGGACTTCAATGATATTAATGATATTTACAAGCAGTGTAAGTAACTCTTTTGTTTCTTTTTTACCAGTATGGCTTGTGGAACAAATTATATTCATGTTAAGCAAAGTGTTTTAATGACTGACATGATATAGTTTCAGGTTCTTTGAGATTCCAGTAGAAATACAGCATTAAAAATTTGCAAACACCAGATCAAGCATAGCCTCACTTCTTGTGGATTGGTGTCCTACCATCCCACTAACTCGGTGTCATGTGAAGATCAACTCTGGCTATCCCTACAGGTTGATCTTCCATACCTCTTGCCTCTGCTGCATTGTCTCCAGTATGGTTAGTATTCAGGGATCCAAGCTTAGGACTGATGCAGCCTGACAAAGAAGAAGCCAGGCAAAAATGCCAGGAGGCCCATGTGAATAAACAAGGAGCTCCAGGACAGAATCAAACACAAAAAGAAAGCCTAGAGAGGGTGGAAGCAAGGACAGGTTGCCTGGGGAGAAGGCAAAGAAATTGTCCAAGCAGCCAAAGGTAGGGTTAGAAAAACTAAAGCCCTGAGAGAATTAAATTAAATATAGTCAGGGACATCAAAGGCAACCATAAAAAAGTTCTGTAGCTACATGGATGGTAAAAGGAAGACCAGGGAAAATGTAGGCCCTATCTGAAAGGAAATGAAGACTTGGTTATGGTCCATGAGTAAGGTTGGCCCCCTGTTGACTTTATGCACATTGGGGATCTTTGCTCCTGACTTTTTTGGCAGGCACCTATTTCTCTCTCTTGCTCTTTCTGTGAGAGGGCCCTCACCCACTCCCTGGTGTTTTTAATTGGATGATCACCATTCTGATTTAGTCTTTCTTTTTCAGCCAAGTTGGTGTTAAGGCCATGCAGTGACAGCAGTGCGGGTTAGCACTGGCCACTAGATCACAACTGTAGCTGGCTTCTGATGAGTGGTAGCAGCTTGCTGAGATGTTAGAGCAGTCAGTGACCAGAAAAAAATAAAAACCAAGGGGAACCAGTAGCTGCCACAGAAGACTTTTTGTCTTGTAGCCTTAACCCTGAAACTGTTCTAATGTCTGTATTTTATACAGATAACTTTGAACTGTGTTTCATCAGGTAAAGTTAAGTGATTGATGGATGTTTCTATTTAAATTACAGTTTTCAAGACAAACTTTCCAGCCAGAGCAGCCTATCAGGTTGCTGCTTTGCCCAAAGTAAGTGCCTTTTCTGCCTACAAAAAAAATGTTTTTTTCTGAAATGCCTTACATCTGAAACATTCTGACAGCTGTTCTTATTCTGGAACAGCTTCAATTGTCATTATTTTAATGAAGACTCTTCAAGTCTTTAGGTTTTTTTTTTTCTAAATATACCAGTCTTATTCCTACACATTATATGAGATCTGAATATGAGAGATACATTTCTTTATGAAAATGACTACAATACTAGAAGTCCAGAGGAGGGCCACAAGGATGGTCAGGGGGCTGGAGCACCTCCCGTATGAAGACAGGCTGAGAAAATTGGGGCTGTTCAGCCTGGAGAAGAGAAGGCTGCGTGGAGACCTCAAAGCAGCCTTCCAGTATCTGAAGGAGGCCTATAAGGATGCTGGAGAGGGACTCTTTATTAGGGACTGTAGTGATAGGGCAAGGGGTAACAGGTTAAAACATAAATAGAGGAAGTTTAGATTGGATATAAGGAGGAAATTCTTTCCTGTGAGGGTGGTGAGGCACTGGAATGGGTTCCCCAGGGAAGTTGTGAATGCTCCATCCCTGGCAGTGTTCAAGGCCAGGTTGGACAGAGCCTTGGGTGACATGGTTTAGTGTGAGGTGTCCCTGCCCATGGCAGGGGGGTTAGTGCTAGATGATCTTAAGGTCCTTTCCAACCCTAACTATTCTATGATACTTAAGTAAGAGTAAAGTGTGTTTCCAAAATTACCTAACATTGCTAAATTAGTAATACCACTGTCAGCAGTATAACTTCCCTTAAATATCATTCTGTTTATACAAGGTTGTGTTATACATCCAGTTGCTTCATAAAATAGATACATTAAATTTTTAATATCTTTCTTCATTGTTTTCTCACAGGGTGCCCGAGTTGAGATTGAAGCCATTGCCATTCAGGGACCTCTCCAAGATGCTTCAGCCTGACTATAATAGAGACTGATTATTCTACAAAGGCAGTATTAGATTTAATACTTTTCCCTTCCATCGTATTTCTACAGTTGACTATCAGCAGTTACACAATTGAAATCAGTAAACTTCATAGAATCAGCTAGGTTGGAAAAGACCTTTAAGATCATTCAGTCCAACCATTATCCCAGGACTGCCAAGTTCACTACTAAACCATGTCACTGAAGGCCTCATCTAAGCATCTTTTGAATACTTCCAGAGACAGTGATTCCACCGCTTCCCTGGGCAGCCTGTTCCAATGCCCAGTCACCCTCTCTGTGAAGAAATTTTTCCTAATATCCAGTCTAAACCTCCCCTGGTGCGGCTTGAGACCGTTACCTCTTGTCCTATTGTGTCTTACTTTGGAAAAGAGACCAGCCACCTCTTCTCCATCCTTCTTTCAGGTAGCTGTAGAGAGCAGTAAGGTCTCCTCTGAGCCTTCTCTTCTCCAGACTAAACAAGCCCAGTTCCCTCAGCCTTTCCTCATAAGACTTAGTCTCCAGACCCTTCACCAGCTTTGTTGCCCTTCTCTGGACCTGCTCCAGCATCTCAATGTCTGTGTTTTAGTTAGGGGCCCAGAACTGAACACAGGATTTGAGATGTGGCCTCAGCAGTGCCAAGTACAGGGTGACAATCACTTTCCTGGTCCTGTTGGCCACACTATTGCTGATACAGGCCAGGATGCCTTTGGCCTTCTTGGACTGCCTGGGCACACTGGTGGCTCATGTTCAGCAGCCATCAGTCAGCACCCCCCAGGTCCTTTTCCGCTGAGTTTTCCAGCCACTCTTCCCCAAGCCTGTAGCGTTGCATGGGGTTGTTGTGGCCCAAGTGCAGGACCCAACACTTTGCCTTGTTGAACCTCATACAATAGCCCATTGGTGCAGCCTATCCAGAACTTACCAAGAAAAGCTGCTTTCCTCTGGACTGTGGCCTTGAATCCTGTAAAATATGAGCTTGCAGTGAGCTGTCTGCCAGCACACCCTGAAACCTCCAGGGGTCCTGCTAAAATGAGCTGAGCTTGATTGCAGGACAGGGCCCTTAGTTTATGATGGTCACTGGATATCCAAGTATTAAAATGCACATCTGGGTGAATGTATGGCAGTTATAGTATGACTGATCTGAAAATGGGAAACTGTAATGACTTGTAATAGTAGGCTTTCAGTAACAATTTTAAATAGGAAAGAAAATTACAGAAATGGGAAAACAACACTTGAATTGGTTAGTGTACATCTTCACTTTTGGGGACTTTTTCTGTATTTGTTTCTCAACTGTCTTAAACTCTTTACAGAGTAGATTACTATTGAGACTCATATTTTCTTCATATGGAAGCAATTGGTTAAATTGGTTAAAGTTAATAACAGCTTCAGAAAAGAAGGCAATTATGCTTTTCTGAAGTGCTAACTTTATAAATCAGTTGTAATTATCTGCCTGTAATCTTTTTCATAGCAGTTCAACTTTGAGTATCTTTTGATTTAAAACAAAACACTAAAACAAACGTTGTTTAATGAGAATAAAGTATAATCATATCTCAAAACTGTGCTGGTCTATTCTGGGAACAAACTTTTCCTGATTATGCTTTGATACATACTACAAAAAATCTTTATCTATCTTGTTTATCCAGTAAGAAATAATTCATACCAAAAGAATAGGCTATTATCGATCTGCTAATGTTTAAGGATTAAAATAATCCGTCAAGACAGGAAGTTTTCAGCTATCTTGGATAAACTGGAAGAATCCCAATTACAGTTCCTTACCTTCCTGCTTCTCTGCTATGCTTTCTAGCTCCCTTTACTTCAGCTGCACTATTACAGTAACTATGTTTTTTATTTCTCATGCATTCCTGTTATTGCTTTAGCATACATCAGAAGACCACTTGAAAAGTTGTGAGAAGAGTCAGCCCTATTTACCCCTTGTGATGTGTGACCATTTCTCCTTTTTACTGAGCTTGTAAATTGTACCTATACAGAAGAAGATTAACAATGAGGTTGTCACAGCAAGTATGTAGAAATGTATGGATTTTTTTATAGCATTATCTTGCTTTCTCTTGACAAAATGGCAGATACTTTTATTAGAAGCAGGATAAAATGCTTTTGATATTTCATACAGTGAACTTAAAAGCAACAACCTTTGAAAGGTACCTGACTTTCTGCATATAAACTTCTTACATGTAAACTTTATTAGCCTTAGCTTCTGCTCTGTTCTCTCTCCTTGGATATACTATTAATGTTGTTCATGTTCTACAACTCTGACTCAAGAAGTAAGAAAAAACATGATCAGTACTAACACGAATATAACTTTCTAGAAAACACAAAGCAAATGTTGCTTCATTTTGTCAGCTAAAATTAATTAGGAATAATGAAATTAAATGGGGTTACATTTAAAGAGATTCCTGATTTGTATTTGTGTTTCTCTGTTACATCTTTGCTCACATGTTTTGTGGAATGCATTTCACTTATTATAGCGGATTTAGTTAAAGTTCACCTTAGGCAGATTTCAACAGTGTTGAACACGAGCCAAGTTTGGCCTTGTATGCTCTCTATGGCTATCCCGTCATCCCTGTCACATTATTCTCCACTGCCTTGTGCTATGGTGCCTCTCTGCCAACCTTGAACCTGACACTAGGTGGCAATTTTGTATTCTTTATGTGCTCTCTTGTTCATTTGCTGGTAGAAGTCCTGTCCAGAACTCCCTTGGGTGACTTCACTGGTACAAAGTGATGTAAATACGCTAGTGCCAGTAAGGGACAGTCTGAGACTGAAATGTAAGTGAAACACCTGAAAAACAATGCATGCTAATAAGATGCAACACATACTTCCATTGAAAATGTTTGTATCAGTAAGTAGGTGCCATTCTGCAAGAAGTCAAGAACTAAAATCCACTTTTGGCTCTGATTGTTTAGCTTTTAGGTGGAGACCAGTTGCACAGTTTCTTAGATGGCTTGGATCTAAATATGTATTCTTCAGTTATAGGAATTCTAGAATAACTGAAATAAACTCTCTTATTTACAGCTATAGCATAGAAGTTCTCAACATAAACCATGAGCCTTCCATAGAGAAGTTTAAAACTTTTATTATTTTTTTTTAAGCAGAGTGATATGATTTGATTCTATTCTTTAAAACAACAAGGTTAAGCCCCATCATTCTCCCCTATAAAAAGCAAGTATCATGGCTATCACTTAGGTCTTAGCTCACCAAAGTACACAAACATTTAATAAATGCTGTTTTAACCAGAGGGAAGTTACACTTTATCTTTTTGTTTGCTAGACTGAACAGCTAGCATGCAAAATATGAAGTTGTAATTCAGCATGGGGCATCCTAATTTCACCACGTAAAATTTGTTTCAATCACATTACTTAAACAACAAAACAGGTCCTCTGTGTGAAAGTAAAGCAATACTTCAGCATGTTCTGCTAGGTTTCTTTTAGCAGTTTTAATTTACTGTATTCTCAACAGATTAAACAATGCAAAAATTAATTTCAGTACCTACTTTTCATAAACGTTTGTTCTCTGCTCAAGCATATAATCAAACTGCCCCAATCTTCTGCTACAAGCACCTTACTCTTCTTGCAGTTTGTACCTGGAAGCAGTTCCTCACTGAATGAAAGAGCCAGTCCCCGCCAGCCAGATTGCCGCATATCTGGGATCCTGAGAATGTGTGCCTGCATATAGCTGACAGCGTGCAAATCTAACCTCTTCTAGGGCTGTCTTTATTGTAACTGAAACAAAATTCCTACCAGAACTTACCCGTTAGCTTGGAAATTCAGTTTGTTCTTTCTAAATGTCTTGCCCAGCGCTTCCTGTCGCATGGAATGATTACTTCTACCTTGGATGAAGTGAAGGGCTGAAGATTGTCTAGCTTTTGATAAACATTTTTGAATATTATTTTGTATTTTGATTACATTTAAAACCAAACCAATAACTAAGATATATTGCCATATCTCTGGAGGTATTATCTTGTAAACACAGACATTGGAGCATATCCTCTTCTCAGCCTTTAACATGAGAAAGCTGTTTGATCCACAGACCAATTTCTGCCCTTGGCAACCTCTCTGATTTCCCAAGTTTGCAGAGGCAGATAACTGCATGTATTTTGGCCCTTTATGCCTTTGGGATCACACAAACCATGATTACTAGACCCATATGTATTTCTCAAGGCAGGGATGTTCAGCATGCATCTATCAACTGCATTTGATCTTGTAGTAATTTAGGGGATATAACATCTCCCATTCAAGACAGCATCAAACATATTTCATATATGAGAAAGGAAAAATAGCTTTCATCTGTTGTAATTGTAGAGTATGTAGGGACTGAAGATTACCAGGAAGAGCTGATACTGTTGAATCATTGAGTGGCTTATATTCTTTCCAGGCTTAATGACCTGAAGAAGTTGGACAGTGAGGTAAGAATGTGTATTGTCACTTGTCTTCCTTGTAACAACAGTGGTAGAAAGAGTGACTTTGTGGTGAGCAAGTTTTCTTGACTCCCTTGTATATTCATAGTCTGTTTCCAAGTGCAGCTTCCTCTGTTGCTATTACTGCTGCTGTTCTCTACCACTGAACTCCTCTTGGTTTATGCTTTAATATTGTTCAATATAACTGCTGCAGCTCATGATCTAACACACAGGTAGGCAGCATGGCTCCCATGCTCCCATGCTGATTTCATCTCCTGTGTTTGGGAGCAGGGCTGTACTGGCATAGGTGCTGGTGGAATTTTCAGCTTGCAGGAGGAAACCAACCGTGAGATGCAGCTGAAGGTGGAAGTTCTTGGGGCATCCTGGGTTCCTCCACTCCTCAGATCTTCAAGGTGCATGGTACATCTCTCAGGGCTTTTTGTCATGGAATGATTTGCACATATGGACAAAAAGCTTGACTACCTCTGTCTGAAATTTTAATTCCTGCTTTAATATCAAGATTTTACTAGAAGAAGCTGCTTGTTTTAACGTCTCTATTATAGGAAGCTAGTAAAAATAAAAAAATAAAACTGCAGCATCCACCTAGCAAAAAAAACCTAAAAAAAAAAAAAGTATTCATTTTGGTTCTAAAGTTTATGGTGTTGCCAAGGCTAACAACTTGAAGTCAGCTGGAGTCAGATGTGCAGAGGCAGCACAAAATATAGGTCTTTGAGGGGATTGTAGAATTTTCAGGGGAGAATAAAGATTCCTGTGAGGTTCTTTTGTACAGTAAAACTAATAAACAGCAACACGTGCTTGCCCTTGTTAGATAACTGGCCTTTTCTCCGTGTTCTACTTCCTTATGCCAGAGAATCCTGTAAACAGTCCCCAGTAACACAGATAGTCCCTTTGCAATATTTACCATCAGAACACATTTCTATTCTCTGTCTGATCCATAGCACCAATTATATTGAGGGCCTATTTTCACAGGAAATTTGTTCGAAAGCTTTGCCATTCAGCTTCAGCTCCAAAATCATTATTTAGCGTTTTAGAAAATACCCCAGGCAGTCCCTGGAAGTATATTGCTCCTGAGGACTGCACTGCAGGGAAATATAATAGATGACCTCTCCTTTCAGAACAGGCTTATATGTGTCTTTGTTTAGAAATTTGCTTTAGAAACCAAAAATGTGTATTAGGAGCTGTACAGCTAAAGACAGGTTACTAATCACCAGCAGTGCTGTGAAGTTGTATTTTAAGTGTACTAGGATTTGTAAAACTAAAACATCCCTCTCAGATAAAAGGCCTTTTCTCCCTGTTTCTGCATAAGTCATCACACATATTGTACTACTGGCCTTTCAATTCACCTATTTTTAAAAATGGGAGAGTGAGCAGCAGACACCCCCTTGGGTCCTGGACACTGCACCCTGTGGATCTTCTATTTGCTGGAAAACTAACCTCTGCATTTAGTTACAGTCTGGTTAAATGGGCACTTTCACTTTCCAGTCCTCTTTGTGCTTATGCACTTCAGCAGCTCCATATGCTGGTAGGCCAAGCACTAAGAGAAATTGCATACTACTATGGGAAAAAAAAAAAAAGTGCTACAGTGTATTCTTTATGGTTGGAGGTTTCAAAGGTTTGAAGTTAGTTATCTGAACCTGAGAAAAAGCCCTTACTGAAAGCTGAACAGTTGTTCTGCTGTTGGAAAATTATCCCACTGTGCTGGCTGTGTACAGAAGGCACTCTGTGGCAGGGAGGCGACAGCTCAGGTATTCCAAATGCTTGAAGTCTTGGCAGCTTGACTTCAAAAAATGTATATCATATAAAGCTTTTTCTGATACCTCTTACTGATGTTTGTGGCTTGTGGCTCAATCCATAAAAGCTTTTTTATTTTCCCAGCCCAATAACATTAGAAAGTGTTCATGCTGAGAGAAGAGCAGGCCTAAGAAGAGGATGTTCATAGAGATGTAACTTCTATTCCTTGTTACTAGCTGTCTCTGAAACACATGGAAAAATTAATTTAAGAATTAATGGAGGGTACAACTTGATATCCACTAAATCTTACAGGAATTCAAAATGAACGTTTCCTGGAAGCATCAAAGGATGGAGGGCGTATCTGCTCTTCTCACAGATCTGTATGGATGTTCTGAAACAGCCACAAGCAGCCACTGGCTCTGCTCCCTCTTCTGCCATCGCACTCATACAGAGTCTTCCTCTTACAGTCATTAATGTCACCTGTGTGAAATCCAGTTACACTGCCAGTCTTATGCTCCTCCCCACCCTGCTGCCTTTTCTCTTATCAACTTTTGAAATCACTTGATAATTTCAGTCATGTTTGACACAGAAGCAGACATTAAATCTTAAGTAAGGACAAGAGACAAAGGCTGCCCAGAGTTGTGGAGTCTCTGTCCTTGGGGATGTTCACAACCCAACAGGACAACCTGCTCCTGCTGACCCTGCTTTGAGCAGGACTAGCAAAAACTCCATTCCATGATAAAGGATAGTTGAGGAACCTCCACCAACCCCTGAAAACTACATATGTTGACCACCAGCAGCTGAGAAACGACAAGTCTTGGTGGCTTCCTCAATAGCTAAAAGATGGTGCCCAAGGGGATGACTGGCAGAAATCATAGTGTCAGACCATCCCAGCTCTAAGTACTTGTTTTCCAACCAGAAGACCCTTCAAGAATAGGTTGGGAACATGAGACTTCCTTATAGTGAATGGTAGTCCACAAGGCTGGATGGGGAACACAGAGAAGCTGAAAATTTTGCATGAAGATGCAGGTGAGAGACATCCAACTGCAGTGATTCTCTGTGACAGAGCCTGACAGTAAATTTGCATGAACATTGCTAATATAGTGTGAAAAAAGTAAATCTCTCTAGTGGTTTTGAATTCACCACTCTTGGTGTGTCATTGAGCATTCCCCTGTTCAGAGACAGACCTCAGCTACCTTCAGAGCAGTATTTATTTTGCACTAGGATCAGCTCACATCCTCTTAGTCATACTCTCTCAGGGGGAAGGCTCTGAGTGGTTTTGATCTCTCTCAAAGTAAGATCTTTTCCATTCCCTTCAGCAATCTTGCTTCCCTGCCCCGAATCTTGTTTCAGTTGTTCAATATCCTTTCAAGATGGAAGAATGTCTCCCTTACACAACAGTATCCAGATTTAAACTGCCACTGATCCATTTCAGTCATTGCAGTAACATTCACTGGGGAAAGGAAAGAGGTGTCTGCATTCCCTGCTCATCCTTTTCCACATTCCAGCACTGCCATGGGCTAAGCTCTGCCTTCTGTGGCAAGCAAATACCTATGTGATGGGCTCAGAAAAAATAAGTGTGAAAATGAGGAAAAAATGATTGTTCACCTTCTCACACTCTCAGTGAATGTGGGGGAAGAAAAAACAACTTTTGCAGAAAGACTGATGACAGAAGTGTGAACATAATTTCCAAGACTGCCAGACAGATGATCCTATCCCCTCAAATCCTTCTCTTCATTGGTGTGATGATTTTCCAAAGGCACTTTATTTGGCCTGTGATTTCTCCTTCCCACCATGTGACTGCATTTGCTGTGCACTGTACTTTCATCCCAGCACTACACTGCAGATTTCAGCTGATAAGGAGAATAAGGGGATCTAAAACAACCGTCTGTCATGGAAATGGAAATCACAAAGCACCATTAAGGCATTATCTCATAAAAACAAGCCTGCAAATAATAATGATCCAAGTCATGATTTTAACATGGGTTTTAATTTTCCAGGACTGTATGTTCCAGCATGGCATTTTCCCAACAAAGGGATAATTTATCACCAGTAAGATTCCTGTATTATATAAAGACAACCCATGTAAAAAGCATGACTTCCAATTGAGTGCTTCCAATATCTCTTAATGCAAATAAAAGTATTGATGACTCCCTCCTTTGTGTTGAAATGCAGAGAGCAGCTGTACACCGGCAGGGGTATGACAAGATGTGCTCATTAAGAACAGCAGTCTTTTTTGTCTCTTAAACAATAACCCACATGGTCCTTCCCTCCTCTGTCAACATACCTATCTCTGTTGCTGCTGCACTATCCACAGCTTCTCCTGTTTCTTCTTTTGTTTCAGACCCCCTGCTTACTGTCTCACTGAGCAGCTCAGTTTCCACCTGTTCTCCCGTCTCACCTGGGAACAGTAACCACAGAGATCAAATTGAGAACACTAAGAAAAGCACCAAGTGCCCCAGCTCATTTCTGTAAATGTGATTTTGCTTTGTCAGCTCTGCAATGCCCCTTACCAAGGTACCCCCTGAATGAATCCATAGAATGGTTCCAGTTCCAATCCCCTGCCATAGACAGGGACACCTTCCACTAGACCAGGTTGTTCCAAGACCCATCCAACCTGGCCTTCAACACTGCCAGGGATGGGGCAGCCACAGCTTCTCTGGGCAACCTGTGCCAGCACCTCACCACCCTCACAGGGAAGAATTTCTTCCTAAAATCTAGACTAAATATATTTCTCAACTTAAGAAGGACATGGAGCTGTTGGAACAAATCCAGAGGAGGGCCAGGAGGATGATCAGGGGACTGGAGCACCTCCTGTACGAAGACAGGCTGAGAAAGTTGGGGCTGTTCAGCCCGGAGAAGAGAAGGCTGCGTGGAGACCTCATAGCAGCTTTCCAGTATCTGAAGGGGGCCTATAAGGATGCTGGGGGGTACTCTTCATTAGGGACTGTAGTGACAGTACAAGGGGTAATGGGTTAAAACTTAAGCAGGGGAAGTTTAGATTGGATATAAGGGAGAAGTTCTTTACTGTTAGGGTGGTGAGGCACTGGAAGGGGTGCCCAGGGAGTCTGTGAATGTGCCATCCCTGGCAGTGTTCAAAGTCAGGTTGGACAGATCCTTGGGTGGCATGATCTAGTGCGAGGAGTCCCTATCCATGGCAAGGGGTAGGGACTAGATGATCTTAAGGTCCTTTCCAACCCAAACCATTCTATGATTCTCCCCTCCCTCAGGTTAAAGCTGATCCTTAAACCTTAAAGGATACTCCTAGTCACTTTCCATCATCCAGCTACATGCGTGCCTCATGCCTGTAAAGTTCTGATGCTTTCACAAAATCCCCTTGATGCTCTATTCAACACACATAATGAATGTTGCATCTGTTTGAATTATTTTTCCTGGATTTTATTTTACATGTGTGCAGTTTTATTTGCAATGGAACAAAACAGAAATAGAAAACATGGTAACGTGCCAGTCTGGCTGAAGCTGTGCTGTCCCTGGGAAGCTCCTACCCAATTAATTTACTCGCACAGCTGCTGAAGAATAAAGGAAAGCAAAGCAAATGCTAAGTATCATATGCATCACAACATAAAACTGGAAGGTCCCTTCTTCCTCATGTGTCTCATGGAAAGATAATGCACACAAGATGTTACTTCTAGCTTGGAACAAACAGGAGCAAAACTCTTTTTCCCAAAAAGCCTTGTTTCATTCATGCAAGCAGCATGAATCATTTGGTGGTCAAAGCCCCATAACTGATCTTCAGGCAAACAGTCTATTGTAAACGTGTTTCCATGGACATGAGGTCATGCCACAACACTCAGGGCATGCTTCCCTGCCTCCAGCACTGTGCCCTGCAGTTCAGGAATGGTGATAAATGAAACTGGAGTTTTCAGCTGGGCAAGACTTTGTGTTTTACAGGTGAGCACCCAGTCACTGCTTACATAAATGAGACTTTATTCCAAAGGATAGATGCCTGTTTTATGTAGAGGAAACCTCAAAATTTTTTTGTGAAGAGACATGGGAGGACAAGCCAACCACTGTGCTCAGCTACTGGGATACAAAGAGTCAGATTTATATAGCCAGCTCAGAGACACGCACAGCAAAGCCACACAGTGGTAGTGCATGTAATTGGCTCTGAGCTTCACAGAGATCAGTCCTTCTCCCACATCTTGACTTCTTCAAGGCAAATGTGGAGTGAGAAAGGCTGCAGATGCCACATTCTCCATGCACAGAAATACTCCTGATGTGCCTCAGCTGCTTATTCCCTGAGGAAATGCTCCCCCAGGGAGTATCTGATTCCGCACCAAGCTGCTTTGTACCATTTAGGAGAAATCTGATTCCTCCTGAAGTGTTCACCTCCTGCATGTGCAGTCCATGGAAGATGTCTTCTGGGCACTAACTCAAAGATGAGCATACCTCCTGCTAAAGGTCCCTCTCACAGCACATGGAAACAGCTGAGTCTCAGACACCACTGCTTCCTCATGCAGCCTTCTCCCCAGCTACTCCTCTTCAAACCCTATGTCACAGAATCATAGAATGGTTTGGGTTGGAAGGGACCTTAAACATCAGCTAGCTCCAATCCCCTGCCATGGGCAAGGACACCTTAAACTAGACCAGGTTGCTCAAAGCCCCATCCAAGCTGGCCCTGAACACTGCCAGGGACGGGGCAGCTGTAGCTTCCTCGGGCAGCCTGTTCCAGTGCCTCACCACCCTCATAGTGAAGAACTTCTTAATACTGAATCCAAATCACCCCTCTTTCAGTTTAAAGCCATTACCCCTGGTTCTGTCACTACTACTATCTGCTTGTGGAGTAGAAGAGCTTCTAGGACAAACAGCATATGCCAAGGGTGCATCAAAGAGCTTTTTCTTCTGCATCTAGGCATGCACCCTTTAGCCTCATGTGCACAGGGACAGTTGCTTTATAATTAACACATGTGACTAAGTAATAGAGCCTTTGGTCCCTGCAAATACTAAAGAATGCTTCTGAGCTACACAAAGCTACAACATTTTAAATGAGAGGTATGGTGGGGCATTTTACCTGCAAAGAACCAAAAGGACATGGAATGAAATAGCAGAAATAGTGACTGAAAATGCTTATTAAATTTATTACAGCTTGGACTTGTGAGTCTGAGGCTTCCCCAGCCACATCCTTCTACACCCTGTCTTGTACAGACTCCCCAGACCAAATTCTGACTCCAGAAGCTCATGCAAGGTTCTCAGTAAAGTCAAATGCACCCTCACACAAGTCCCTGGAGGCAGAATTTGGTCTCCTAAATTTATGGAAGCACAAATATTACCCTCAATGAGGTGGTCCTCTTCAGTAATATGTACTTTCTTGATGATTTCCACTACAGAGCTGTCACTGTCCACCAGTCCACTGTCCTCTGCTGGTCCTGGCGATGGTGCTCCCGCATCCTCTCCAGGTGCTGGAGGTGAAGGTCCATTGCTCTCCTCTTGCCACACAGTTGGCAGCTCAGAGCTCTCCTCCTCTTGCGCAGGCAGGGGCTCGGTGCCCTCGGGCTCCTCCCTTTTACTGACTGAATCCATCTTCTCCTCCATGGCCAGAATCATGGCTGCAGGCTCCTCTCCTGGCAAACGCTCACCCAGGTTTGTCTCCTCAGAGGCAAGACTCACACACTCCACTGGGTCCAGCTGTGTCTGGTCAGCTATGGTTTCATGATCATCTGCAGTCAGGGTGTTTTCACCAGATGAAGCTTTTAGTTACAGCAGGGCAAGGAGAGAAAAAAGAGAATTATGGATGACTGGTGGGTGAGGTGGCATGTAAGCTAGGTGAGAACCAGACCCACAGTCCACAAGCACTAGCTGCCAAAGAGCTCCCACATGGCTATGGACAATATTTCTCCACAGGTCTGCTGTTCTTACACATATTAAGTAGAGGATGGTGCTGCTTTTACATAGAAAAAAAAACCCAAACATTTTGGCTTGATGCACATCATACGTTTTTACATGAAGAGAGCTGACCTGTTTACAGGTCAATGTCCTATTACATTTTGCCTTATACATCTGCAGTGTGCAGAAGGTTTCCTGGTGATGGGATGCATGCAAAGAAGCACCTTTTCCTGCCCCAAGCCAAGCACAGAATCAACGTCCTGAGCAAGAGGGAGCTGCTGGCATGGGCCGTACATGGGAAACTTCTGGTGGTGTCTCCAGGGGGGCTGAACAAAAAACACTTAGAAAAACTCTCTTGTCCCAGAGGGTGAGCAGTGCCCACTTGTTGAAACAAAAACCAGTTTGTCTGTCTTTTTAAATACTAACCTACCATTTATAGTACTCTTTGTCTAATAAAACAAGAAGCTTAAACAAATTAAAACTTCTGATCCTTTCATCAACTTCTTCACTAAGTAAAGCTGTTTTGGCAGGCAAAATTTGTGGACAAAGAAATGGCAAAATTACTCTGACAGGTACTTAAGGATAAAAGTTACTGACTCAAGATAAGCTCTGCCTACCTATCTGACTGAATTACTAACTTTCTGACTAAATTCAGTTTGAGAAGAGCATGTACTTAACCTTCTGCAAGGGAATGTCAGGGTGAAAACCCGGGGAATTCACGTATGAAATCTGTATAATAATTACAAAACTGAACAAATTGTACTTTCTGAGAAAATGGTGACAGCAATGTCAAAGCCAGTGAGCAGAACTGTATGATACTTTATACACACATAGATAAACTGTGAAAAAATGTAGCAAGACCTGCTCTTAAAACAGAGGCTTCAATATTGCTGCTCTTCAGGTAACTGCAGTTCTTTTGAGGCATTCAAGAAAACACTTCCCCAGTAAGGGTCACCTTGTTAGGGTATGCCTACTGCGGAAGGACGGCTATGACAGGGGAAGAGCAAGAACAGGGAATCTGGATGGAAAACAACTTCTGACTATGGGATATGTAAAATCTCATTTTTCCCAGAAAGTGTAAAACCAAACAAAATCAAACCAACCCCTTCACAAGGCATAACTATTTAGAATAGCTATTACTTCCTCAATAATAATAGCTATTGCCTCCTCAAAAAAAGGAGGTAAGCTCAGCTACAGACCCACCCAGGGCAGCACCCTGCCCCTGATGGCTCCCTAGGGGCAGTGGAAAGAGCAGAGGGTCCCAGCCTGTGGAGCTGGGTTTCAGTCCGTCAGGGGACATTCCTCCATGAACCTGCCAAAGCCCCTTTTCAGTCTATTCACACTTTCAGCCTCCACCATGACCATGGCAATGTGGTCTACTGCCCACTTAAAACCCCTGTAAAACACATTCTGACTGTTTTTAAGCCTGCTGCTAGTTATTTCTTCAGGAGACATAGTTCTTGTGTTACAAGAAACAGCAAATCTATTTCACTGTTTACCTCCTCTAGATCTCTATCACACCTTGGCTTCCAGGTACTCCTTTTCCTAATATGAAGCTCAACATGAAACAGATACCAAATCAGAGTAACAGCTTAAATTTAAGCTATCCTAAGCAGAGACTGAAAAAAGCAGCGTACGCTTGGAGGCCAGAGACTTGATCTTTTCACATTTTTAACCCTCTAGATACTTCTCATGCCTTCACCTTGCCTGGTACCAGGTGGACAGGGAGCATTTGTAACCTACAGACAGAAATAAATGAGCCATGAAAAATAGCATTTATACATAGTTTTGAGTTGGTGTAACCAGTAAAAGAAACAATTCAAACCCACTACTACCAGGAATCTCCTGCAGCTCCTACAAACATCAACCCTGTAGCTTCCAGCTAGCCCTCTTTTCACCAAGATGTTTCATATAAATTGAATTATAAAATGCTTCCATGCACTGCGAGCCCTGCACTGCTGTAAAACCCTGGAAGCATTCCTCTGCTCTCGTCTGAAATGCAAAGAATTCTCTAATATGGAAAGAGTAAATCCTCCCAGTGAGCTGTTCAATACCTTTACCCCCAAGAGGAATGAGCATCATGTGGCAGTCAACATTCCTCGGATGCCTTCTGGTTTTATTTTTTAAATTCATCATTTTTATTTTCCCTGCTGTAGCAATTTCAGCTGGAGAAGCAATGAAAAGCACAGTGAATGTACATTGGCCACAGCTACGGTATTTTCCCCTTATTTTCCCCTTTGCTTTCTTTCCTTTCAGAAAAGCCTCTCTTGTTTGTGAGTTACACACCGATGCAAGAAAATGAAATACCTTTTTTTTTCCTATTAACACATTTAGAGAAATTTCTTTTAAATTATCCTCTCTTATTAAATTAAGTTAGAAAATAACTAACATATCTGCCTGGGAACTGCCCAGTTAATGGTGATCATTCATTTGTAATTACAAACTGCACTTCATCATTGCCATGACATCAGTTGATGTATTGAGTATGTTTCCTAACTGAACATTCTGGCCTGTAGACAGAATTCCTAAAAATACTCAGAAATTACTTCAGTTGTTTCTCTGAGCCTTTCAGCATTCCGTGCAAATAGCTTTCAGCAGAGGACAGAAAGCCAGAGCAATCTGGTACGCTGACCAGGTGAACAAGGCAGCAGGTACAGTGTGAAGAGATTCCTGCCGACGTTTCCAGCGGGGCTCCTCGGTTTGCAGATGTATGCTGGCTCTGTTGTGGCACAGACAACACTCACCCCGTGCAACCTGCCACCATCTCTGCAGTCACAAACCACACCACCACAAGGCAACAAATGGAAAACTAAACCCCTATAGAAAACATGAATGCTGCAGCCAGAATATTATCATCAGATGATGTTTAGAACTGAAGTACACAGGAAAGAAATGCAGTAAAATGAAATGCAAACAACTTTTATGTATCCATCTTCAGGATGAAGATTTTCTGGAGAGGACAATACCTGTAACTGCATCATTCAAGTTCTTCTAAAAAGTGTTTTCAAACCTCCCTTGGAGCAAAGAGCAAAATATGATGAATGTGGAAACATGGTTTTATTTAACTTCCAGTGAATAGCAAAGATACCCTTATAGACCATCCTACAAACACACCTTGCACTCAACGTAATCCTCTGTGACCTGAGCCAAATCATAGTCACAAGAATGTTCCTAGTGCTGTAAACTGTCTTGGGGTGGATGTAGAGATTTTGTAAGAAAAAGGAAGGACTGGAGGGTCAGGTACTGCTAGGTCACTATTATTTTTAATGGGAGAACAGAAGCATTGAATTTAGAAGGTGTTACACAAAAGGACAACAGCAGAACCTGTCTCTAAAGTAAAAAAAAATAAAAGGCTGCAGAGAGGAGAACCCAGTAACTGATTCATTTTAAAGAAGCAGATTATGAAACATCTGAAAAAAAGTGAGAGTAGATTTAGATTAGCTATCAGGAAGAAATTCTCCACAAGAACAGGTTGCCCAGAGAAGCTGTGGCTGCCCTATCCCTGGCAGTGCTCAAGGCCAGCTTGGACGGGGCTCTGAGCAAGCTGGTGCAGTGTGAGGTGTCCCCCTCCCCACGGCAGGGGGTTGGAATTAGTTGATGTTTCGGGTCCCTTCCAACTCAAACCATTCTATGATTCTACGGTCGTTCACGCGGCGCAGCTCCATCAGAACTGAAAGCCGGGACCAACCCGAGGGACTCCTGCCCCCCGCGGCGCCCCTCCACGGACAAGACCTCCCGCACCAAGGCCCCCCGCGGCTCTCGACAACGCGGCTTCCCCCCTGCGCCAGCCCCGCGGGCAGTCCCCACCCCGGCCCGGCCCGGCCCAGCCCAGCTCACCCCGCGGCGGCGGCGGCTCCCGGGGGCTGCGGGCGCTGCTGGAGCAGCCCATGGCGCGGCGGCAGCGCTACAGCCTCTGCCCGGCTGCCCGGCCGGGGCGGGGTAAGGAGGGGCTGGGGATGTAGCCGAGCGGCGGAGACGGGGGGGCAGAGGGGGTGGCTCTGGCCACGGCGCCTGAAAACACCCCCCCGCCCCCGCGCAGCCCGGCACGGCACACCCGTCCTGTCCATTCCTGCCCTTCAGGCGGTTTCCTGTGCGGGTGTCACAAAGTCCAAGTGGCAGCAGCCGGGAAAGGGGCTGCAGGTCTGTGGGACGGCAGCTAGAGATCCATGAATCTAACCCAGTGTGTGTGCACGTGTAGGTGGAAGTGGCTAGCAAACTGCAAGCCAGGTTAGCACCTGTACACCAGGTAACAGGGTCCAAATGGACGTCGAGGCCATGGTGATATTTGAGAATCCATGAATGTGGGTTGTGCTCGTGAATCTAAGACTGAGGTGAGGGGATTCTGCATGGAACCCCAGTTCTGAGAAGCCGGAGAGGAGCAGCAGCACTGGGCTATCTGCACTTAACACTGTATGTGGTACATGCAGGTGCTGCTAAATGCAGTGCTCTGCCTTAGCATACCAGATGTGTGTGCTTGTACACACACAAGGGGCTTGCCCTTGCTACTGACCCTCCCCACAAACAGGAACATCCCGTGGGACTGGGATGGGAACACCTCTAGGGTCTCAGCAGCTGGGAGGCAAGAAGGAGTCCCCATGCTGCAGGGTCCTCTGGATTCAGAAGCCACCTCCTTACTATCAGCCTTTAAAAGTAAAGAAAATATATTAGGATTTTCATATTTACATGTAGGCAAACCAGCAAATGTCCAGGGAAGTCCAGGTGGCTCAGAAACTTTCCAAAGAGTAAGAATGAAGAATATTTGCCATATATTTGCTTGCACAAGCAAGTCCAGTGTCATTTATTTATTACACTCAAGATGTGTTTCATTATGACCTTCAAATTTAATCACCCATTGTTCTAAATAAACATTTTTCATCCATCAAGAAACTTGTTCAGACAAATCATATTGTCTTTGGACATTTGTCCAGGGTTTGTTGATGTCCTACAGCCAAGGTGGAACAATAGCACTAACTTCAGCCAGGCTGCAGGACATACGGAAATCCTGGACATGGGGTATACTATACGGTATGTGTACTGTCACTGCAGCACAAGTGACACGCTCTGGCACCCCTGGGAGAGACTGACACGTGTAAGGTGTGTATTGTATGGATATGAGGTGTACACTGGAGCTGCTGGACTTACTGCAGGCGCAATGTACACCAAGCACACCCATGTTTTCTGGGAAATCACCTGGCAAATGTACAAGGAGCAACACAGGAGGGAATACACCATGTAAGTTTAAGCACATTAACTTCCGTCTTTCAGCTTGAGTTCATTTTTAGGACACTTTTTAAAAATAACAGAAAAAAAACATAGGCTGTACAGATTTCCCTGTGACTATGTAAAAGATTTCTACCAGACACTAGGAATGCTGGTAATTTTAGCATTACCAAAGCATAAAGCTGCTGTGTAAGCACAAAAGCAGAAGTACAATGAAGGGTTTAGCAACTTAAAAGTTAATTCCAGTAATATCTAACATTTATGCTTTTTCAGAGGTGGACATGCATGTGAAGACACCTGGGAACCCACCTACTGCCTGCTGACTGGGACAGCTCTGCTCCCACTGATAAGAAAGTAGAAATGCCTGTGCTTGTGAAGGAACTTGTCTTGCCTGCAGACAGCACATACACAAGGGAGGGACATCAAACATACCTGGTAACCTACCTTTTTTCTGTGATTTTCTTTCAGAGAACAAAGCAAGGAGGCCAGGCCACCAGGGCAGATTCATTGAGCACCAGGCACTGAGGAAAAGGGAAAGTTACGTTCAGTTGCTTTTCTTGCCTGCAGAGCTTTGTACCTGATCCCCTCTGTATCCTAACCAAAGGGTATATTGTGCAGAGTGCACCTACCATCCATCTTACTGAACAGTGGAGAAAGGAATTAGAACCCAAGGGCTATTTGTCAGGTCACTCCCAGAAGCACTAAATAACAATTTCATGGTCTTTTCCCCTTCTCCCATGAGCAAAGAAGTTGCATTTTTTCAGCAGGAAGACTGGATACAACAGAGGTAGTGCTTGAGCTGGACATAGGAAGTACCATGATAGGACAAGGCTGCACCTCAGTGTATGGGCTGTATTGCCACGCTCTGGCTCAGACCAAGGAAAACTATTTTATTCAGGAATGTAAGTTGGGAAAGTAAAATAAAATGTAAACAGGTAATGCTCAGGGATAGCTGTAGGTAAAGCAAAACAAATAACCTATGTCCTCTTATATACAAGCAGAAATGCACTTCCAAAAGCAAACTTCATAAAGATTTCTCTAAGGTCCTAGCTACTACCACATGACCAAACTTGTTCCACTCATTCCAGAGCTCACTTGCTTCAATTTTAGATACTATTCCTACTGCAGCTATTAAATTTATATCTTCTTTCTGACAGACCCAAATCCTGGGGCTTTCCAAATCACAGCAGACTTTTCAAAAAATTATATTAATCATGAAGTTTCCTTTGAAAAGTGTGCCTCCTTTTCTCAACTCTATTTTGTGCAGAAAGACCAGTACTGACGAGGCAATAAAATATTCTGTGTTCTTTATTGTGACAGATAATTCAGGCCAAACATTCCACTGATGCAAATTTGCAAACTGAAGGAACATCAAATTTGCAAACTGATGGAACATCAAATTTGCAAAATTTGATGGAATTTGCAAACTGAAGGATGCTCTGTGATGCTGATCTATGAACTGCAGTTCTCTAACTGCCTTCTGCAACTGCTAGTCTTGTTTTGCCTGGAATGACACTGACCTTGAAACTTAGCTCCTAGGACATAGCTTGTAATTTCTGGAAAAGAAGGAATCTGCAGATCTTCTTATGAGACTAATTACTATCTTTAGAAATCTATACCTGTGGATTTCTGCACAATTTGGCCCTTAGAAAATACAGTATCTTCTACTGGCACGCTATTTAAGCTAGCTACACGTAATAGGTATACAAATGTATGTGTTTATGTGCATATACAGATACTCCTTAGCATCCTTTTACTGGCTGAAAATATATCCACTGTTTGCAGATATCGAGGTATTCACAGTAGACAGTATTTAACCTGAAGATTCTCCCTCTTCCCTAATGAGATAACCTTTCCGCATTTGGCCAATTTTCCTCTACAGTTCTTTTCCTTCCTTCCTATAAGAAAGCTACTGGAAGGAAAGGTATCTGAGGAGAGGTTTGCATCCAGACCCACTGGACCTGTGCATTACTGGGATTCCAACTTCGCAGAGATCTGAAACAAAGAGCTGCATTCATCTGCCTGACAATACAGGGGACAGGCTCAGTGCATGACCCTGTGAAAATCAGATGAACATGTTTGCATTTGCTGTAAATGTGATCATTATCAGAGAACAGTCTGTCACTTTTAATAGCTCTGACAAGTGCAAAAGGAGAAAATAATGGCTGCAGGTGTTCACACAACCTTATTGTGTAACTGTGAAGAGATTTTGATGGGACTGAAAATATAAGAAAGAACAGGACTATATTTTTGCAGCTTTTTAGCCTATCAAAACAGTATGCCTTGGGCATACTGGTAAAATGAAGATGCAGAACCAGCTTTTCAAAAGATCAGTTGTCTTTTTTGAATTGAACCTTGTTCTACCGTGGCTTGCACTGTTGTTTTCTGACTGATACGTTGGTGTTGGTGCTGCCACGGGAGCCCCCTGCCTTACCTTTTCATCTCCCCCTCCCTAGCTGCATGTTTCCACCTCTGGCAAGACATCAAATGAAGTACTGACCTGACTTAAAAACAACTGTGAGGAAAAAAACAAAACAAAACAAAACAAAAGCTCAGCGTGGGAATTCCTTCAGCTGTTATCTCTACTGAGGTCAATATATCATGAAGTTATGGCCCCAGCTGAAGGGTGGCCATTAGACTGTTACTCCAGTCATGATGAGGAATCTGTGATCACATGTCCAGACTCAAAGAAAATAAGGCTGCGTTATGATCTTAGATATTTTCCATCTTCTAGGTCAGTTAGAACGTCTCAGATACAATGGGTTGGTTTCATTTTTCTCCAAGCCCAAAATGGTGAAGTTGCTCTCCAGTTTTTGGGATAGGTCAACGCTCCACCAGTAACTTTACTCACAATGCTCTCA